AAATTTCAAGTAGGCATGCTCAATTTAGTGAAAAGCATAAAACATTTCACTTCAAATCAGTCATACTTGTGTAAAACGGGTTTAGTCCCGCCACCACTTCAAAAACAAATCAAAACATGCTTTTAAAACAGTACTGGCATTACCATAAATTTACTTACCTCACTTGCATAAAACCGAGCACTCAATTCACGTACTAACTGACAGAACGATCGGGAACCTAATCAAAACATCCACAATTAATATCAGACTATCATAAATTCAAGGTAAACTCATCATTAGGATCATTCCTAATCACAATGCTATTTCCATCACTTTCCACATGATCGGACATCTCCAAATTCGTTCTCATATCACAAACTAATCATTTAAATTCCCATTAAATGTTGGCCCTCGGGGTGTGAACAGTAACCTGTGAACAGTACCCGCGAACAGTACCCCGACGTGAACAGTAACCCCGACTTTCACAAATTGGCCAAAACACTAGCTAATTTCACGGGGTTTTCTCTCCAAAATCACAACAAGCAATTAACACTCAATCACATAAATCCCACTTCAATTAAGCTAAATCATGGTCCTAAAGCTACCGAAATTCCCCCATTTTTCTAGCAATTCACGGACACACAAGGCAGCAAACTAAATGGACAATTTAAGCCTTAAAAGGCTGTCACATACCAAAATTTTCCAGCAAGAACCGGACCTAGCAGGGGGAAGAAGGCCGGCGGCAATCTGCAGGGGGAAGCTCTCGGGTTACCCAAAATGGGAGGAACAAGAGCAATCAAAGTAAACCCAAGCCAATTCAAGCAAGAACAAAGGGATTAGGGGCTGTTCTTACCGAAAACATGCCCAGAAATCACCCACCCACAAGCTGCAACTCACGGACAGGGGAGGGGAGAACCGACCAGATCTGGGTTTCTGCAGAGAGGGAGAGATTTCTGGGTTCTAGGAGTGTTCTAGAGCAAGAAAAGAAGGAGAAATCCAAGTTTTCTCACTAGTTTCTCAAGCATGGCTGGGTTCCCCTTTTTTTTTCCTTCGGGTGGCTGCAGCGGGAAGAAAGAAGAAGAAGAGCAGAATCGGGCAAGGCTGGGAAGAAAAGAAAGAAAGAAAAAGAAAAAGAAAAGAAGTCATCCTTATCCAAAATCTTTCCCTCTTTAAGTCCCTCAACTTTTGAAATTTTGGCAATTAAGCCCAAAACAATATTTTCTCACACAAAAACCCTTACTTAAATGCTAAAATAGCACAAAATTTTGGGGTATTACAATTGTTGTCTTCAAAATAATAGCACAATGATTTGAAACTGTTCTCTGCAACCCTTGTTTTGCCCATTCCTTTCCCATGTTACTCATTTCTACCAT